ATCCCATCCTCTGAGCAGGAAAAGGGGGGAATGGAGACTGAATTTAATCACATAGCCAATGATTCAATCATTCGTACATAATGGAACTCTGGGTACCTGAAGCTTGGGTGAAGGTTCCTGGTTGATAATCCCACATCAGTGCTTTGGGAGAGTAACTTGAGCTGAGGATATAAAACATTATTATTATGTTCCTGTAACACTGCCACTCACCATCTGGGACCCTTGCAAACCTTACACTATGTATTTCTTCTGGGAATACAGAGATTATAACTTGTAGAATGAGGGAGCCTCATGGAATTTTTTTTTTTTTTTTTTGTGGTGCTGGGGATTAGAACCCAGGGCCTCGTGCATGTAAGGCAAGGACTCTGCCAACTGAGCTATATCCCTAGCCCTGAAATTTTTGCTCTTAATCTATAAAGTCTGTGTTAACTCCAGACTAACTTTACAGTGTCAGAATGACATTGGCTTTCAAATGTTATTGTGGAACTTTTTTTTTGTACTGAGGTTGAATTCAGGGGTGCTTAACCACTGAGCCACATTCCCAGCCCTTTAATTTTTATTTTGAGACAGGATCTTAACGAAATTGCTTAGGACCTCACTAAATTGCTGAGGTTGGCCTCGAAGTTTGATCCTCCTGCCTCAGCCTGAGTCTCTGGGATTACAGGCATGTGCCACCATTCCAAAAAGGAGAAAATGTGGTGCTGCTATTGTGGATTTTTGTTTCTTTCAGTCGTCTCAGCTTTGTTCCATGCATTTTGAAGGTGTTTATGTGTGATCACGTTCATGATTATTATGTCTTCTTGGTGAACTGACCTTATTATAAATATATTCTGTACCTTTTTCTCCCTAAAGTTTCTTTACTCTGAGTTCTACTTTGTCTAATATTAATACAGTCATGCTAGTTTTCTTCTGACTAGCATATTTGCATGGTCATCTCTTTTCCTGGAGGTTTAACCTATCTGGTATCTTTTTTTTGAAGTAATTTTTTTATACTGAAGATATATTTGGCTCAGTAATTTTTAAAAATCCTTTGTGATCACCTTTGTTTGCTCAGGCTATATGCATTTCATGTAAGTACTGATATATTTGCATTTAGGTCTACCATTGAATCATTTTTGTGTTTGTTTCTTGTTTCCCCTTGAATTAAACACATTTTATCATTTCATTTTATTTCATCTCTGGCTTTTTATTAAACGTCTTTTTTGCATAGTTCTTTCCATGGTTGGTTGAGGGATTTGAATATACTTGAGTTTTCAGTCTACTTAAAATAAATTTCACCACTTCCAGTGGAATGCTGGAAAGTATTATATATAGTCTCTTTGCCTACCTCCTTTATATTTGTTTATTTTGAGATCATGTCTTCCTGTGTTACCCAGGGTGACCTTGAACTCCTGGGCTCAAGTGATCCTTCTACCTCAGCCCCACCAGAATAGTTGGGATGAATGTCCTCAACATATTTTAAGAACTCAAGAACTAAATCTATTTTCAACCCAGATAATTACCATTTCTGTTATTCCTTTATTCCAGTTTTTCTGTGTCATTTCCCTTCTGTTGGAGAAACTCCCTGTAATAATTTGTTTTAGGTAATGTCTCCTGATAATGACTTATCTGTGTTTTCTTTGATCCATATTTGGCTCTATTTAATTTTTATTCCTGAAGGCTGGTTTCACTGGATATAGAAAGAAGCCTGAGTCAACAGTTCTCTCAGCATTTTAGAAATGTGCTACTTCTTTTTTGCCTTCATGATTTCTGCTAAGAAATCCAGTCATTCAGATCATTGATTCCCTATAGGTAATAAGTTATTTTATCTGGATGCTTTCTGTATCACTTTAGTTTTCCCCAGTTTCATTATCATGTATCTGGGTGTGGACAGGAGCTTGAGTACAAAGGTTTCTCACAAAATTTGCAAAGTTTCTAGTTAATATTTCTTCAATTTTTTTCAGCACTACATTTTCTCCTTTTTGAAACCCTGACGGTGTAATTTTAGATCTTTTATTACTGTCCCACAGGTCTCCAAAGCTCTGTTCAAAAAAATCATGGTTGTTTTTTTCCCCCAATCTTTTTCTCTCTTCAGATTAGGTAAGTTGAACTGGTTTATCTTACTTTTCATGGACTTTCCTCCATTCTGAGACCAGTTAGTGAGCTTTAAATTTTGGTTGTTGGGTTTTTCAAAAATTTTCGGATTTTTTTTGTATCTTTTCTTTGCTGAGATTATGTACCCCCCCCCCATCCCACTGGTTTCAAGTTTTCATGATTACTTGCTGGAGCACATGTGTGTGGGTGTGTGTGTATTTTAATTGTAGATGGACACAATATCTTTATTTTGTTTTTATTTATTTATTTATATTTATTTTTATGTGGTGCTGCGGATCAAACCCAGTGCCTCACTCAGCGAGACAAGCGCTCTATCACTGAGCTACAAACCCAGCCTTTGCTGGAACACTTTTTAAATAGCTGCTTTAATGTCTTTATCAGATCATTTCAACATCTGTGACATCTCAGTGCTGGCATCTGTTGTCTTTTCCCATAACAGTTGAGATCTTCCCATTTCCTGGTGTCCTGAGTAATTTTGGATTATATTCCAAGATTTTGAATAATGTTATTAAGCTCTGGGTCTTGTTTAAATCCTGTAAAGAATATTGAATTTCAGTTTGATTCTGAAGGCACTCTGGCTAGGTTCCAGCTCAACCTACCTTATATGGGCTGTGATTCCAGAATCAGTTTAACTTTTAAAACTTTGGCAAGGCTATTTGGGCCTATTCCATTTTCTAGCCTGGGATCTGAGTGGTGGTCTTCCTGAGCGCAGCTCTTCAAGTCTTTGGTATACTGCATGAGATAAGATCCATGAGTAGTTTGGGGGGCGGGGTGAACTGAAGAGTTCATAAACAACTTAATGGGATCAATTTTCTGTGGCAGAGTTCCTTCCTCTTTGTAATCTTCCCAATACTTCCTGGTTCCTTTTATTTGTTCTTTGGCAAAAAGACTGAGGCTGTGTACTTTTGCCACTGTGTTTGCGTCCAAGGCCACATGGATGGAGGACAGAGAGGAAAAACAACGGGGACTGGCTTTACTATGTTCCAGACACTGTGCTAAAAATCTTAAAATGGATCATGCCATTTAATCCTCTCAGAAACATAACTCTACTGAAGAAGGGGTCCTTGGTTTCAGAGCTGGCTCTTGTAGATTCCCACTGCCAATAGTCAACAGTGTCACTACCACTGGACTATATGGAAGACAGGATGTAAAAAACAGAAAGGACTTGCCACTGTGTCAGTATTACTTCAAATTCTTGTCTTCCCCAATCTACCTGCTACTATTTTTTTTCCAGAGATAGCTTATGCATTAACAGCAGGAGACCTTCAGTAGGACACACTTACTCCATCTTTATCTGGAACCAGCCCAACTAGTACTTACCAACTAGTACTTATGAGAAATGTGGACATGGCAGCACATGCCTGTAATACTAGGTACTCAGAAGGCTGAAGCAGGAAGATCATAAATTTGAAGTCAGCCTGTGCAACTTAGCAAGACCCTGTCTCAGAATAAAAATAAAATGGGCAAAGGATCACGGGCAGAGTGCTTGCCTAGCATGTGTGAGGCCCTAGGTTGAACCACCATCACTAAAACAAAACAAAACAGAACAAAAAGAGCAAAAATCCTCATGAGAAAACTTAAAGAGCTGGTTACTTATACTCTTTCTTCTCCTCCTCAAAAATAATCATCCTAATAATAATAGTACAGTTTATTGTTCTTTACTGTGTTCTAGACATTGTGCTAAAAATCTTAAAATGGATCATGCCATTTAATACTCATAAAGACCAATGAGGAAGGTACTGTTGTTAGCTCAATTTTCAGAGAAGAAAATAAAGACTTAGAGAAGTATCCTGTGTGGAACAGAGTTAGGAGCTAGCAGAGCCAATATTGCAACTTGGGCAGTGTAACTTTAAACCTCTGCTCTTGAACATCTATAAGCTGCAACTAGTCCCTCCCTTTCAGGTCTGTCTGTATAAAGTAGTGTTAAAGTGAAAAATTGTAAATGAGAAGGAAAAAAGCCAAACCCCATCATTGCCCCATTAATTTTGAGGGAAAAAACTGGAAATCTAAAAACCTCTATATTATTTGATGCTACTTTTCTAATTCAGGAGAATAATCCAACCATCAACATACAGTTTTAAAAAGTCATGTAATAAAAAAGTGCTGAGAAAAATAACAAAAAATGCTTTCAGTATCATTAGAGGCTTACTTTAGACTAAGTGAATACAGTATACTCTAGTCAAGAAATCAATAATTTTTGAGAAGTTAAAAACTTCAACCAAAACAACATAAATCTATGTAATGCTTTTTATTTACTGACCTCTAAAACAATCCAAAATTCTTATGGCTAATGGAACCTTCCAAACTAAAATGTTGTTCAACATGACAATTACTACAAAAATATATGTATTTTAATATAGTGCTTTCACTTCACCCAAGGAATCAACATAAGAACATTACATTTAGATAGTAAAATCAAATTACAAATATAAATATGAAATAATGTCATATTTCTGGTTTACTAGAAGACATATAACAGCATGACAATATGTTTAACAGCTTAGGTAAGAAAAGAAAATGGGCAGGGGTATCATGGAGGTATGCAAATATTAAACAATTCATATAATCCTTAGCCCTTCTGAGAAATATTTCTCATGGGAAATATGTAGCAAATATTCTGTAATACAGTGGTTCCAGTCCATTATAGTGATCATTATTCTGATCATGTGTTCAAATAACTGCTGTTGTTTTTATCACAGTCATTCATTGCTTAACAAGCTGATACTGATACTATAAATCCCCTATGTAGTTTAATTGGGCACAGCAGTGCATGCCTATAATCCCAGTGACTCAGGAGGCTAAGGCAGGAGGACTGCAAGTTCAAAGTCAGTCTCAGCAACTGAGCGATGCTCTAAGCAACTTAGTGAGATCCTATCTCAAAATAAAACATAAAAAGAGGACTGGGGATGTGGCTCAGTGGTTAAGCACCCTTGGGTTCAATCCTTATTAGCAAAAAAAAAAAAAGGTAGTTTAAATTGGAAAAGCTTAAAGTAAAGAATATGTTATTCTTAACTACTTTTAGATATAACTGAGACATAATCAGCCATACTATTTTGTATAGTTAATTCCAGTTACTATAAGTTTATTGGTTATTAATAACACAAATTTTATGTTCCAAAAGAAATATAATGATCCAGCACAATGGTTACATTTAATTTTCTCTTAAAGACAGACAAACTAAATTTAAGAAGAACTGGCTTTTTTTGGTATTTCATTTTAAATTACTAATATAAATTTATCAGAGAAATAATTGTATATTTTGGCCAACATCAAATAATCTGTAAAAAGTTTCTGAGACAGATGCATTTCTTATTTAATTTTCAAAGATAAATAATGGCTTTCTAACAGAAAGCATTTATATTCCTAGCTCTCTAAAGTAAACATTAAAAATAAAGTACAAAAAAAATATCTCCCAGCTTTTGAATAGCTCACTTAGTTACATAAAGTATTTTTTGTCAACACTTCCTCATATTCAAAAGATATTTACTTCCTAAGAACATGACAAAAAGAGTCTTCATTTCAAACCAGTCAGTCCGTTTCCATGGCAACACTGCGGGATTCCTTGGCTACCATAAGTCGCATTAGTTGACTGTGGAATTTCTCAATCTTCTTTACATCTTGAGCTTGATCTGTTCTATACACCAAACACTGTCAGAAATTTTAAAATTATACATTAACTAAGTAAAACCAGATACTGGCACTGTGAAAACAGTAATTAGGAAAAACTCTGAGAGTCCTTCCTACTATTGTTTTGCTCTATTCTCTCTACAGTCAAAGGACAAACTGTACTCAAGTTCACAAGCTTCCAGCAATTACATTCCTTAAGAATGGTATTTTTGTCATTGTTATGTTTTTTTTTTTTTTTTTTGTACAGGGGATTGGACCCAGGGTCACTTTACCACTGAGAAACATTCCACAGCCCTTTTTATTTTTTATTTTGAGATAGAATCTTGCTAGGTTGCTTAGGGCCTTGCTAAATTGCTGGGCAGGCATCAAACTAGTGATCCTCCTGTCTCAGCCTTCCAAGTCAGTGGGACTACAGGAATGTACCACCATATCTGGCTTTAGGAATGGCATTTTGAATACCACTTCTGAGGATTCAAAATTATTCAATATCTACTAGAAACTTCTAAAAAATGATCAGTTAGTAATGTATTAAATCCTGTTGTGGGCTGTTGAGAAGAATTCAAGGACTTAAATTAGATATTCTCTCCTGGAACACAGTCACTAATAACTGAGTTACAGTGGAAAAAAAAGCCAAAAAAATCTTAGGATCCCGTTCCCTATCTGTGAAATTATGGGTTTAACAATATTTTTCTTCAAAGTCTAGAATTCCCTGCTTCTAGCTGGTGCATAATTAAATCAAACCAACTAAGTCTGTCCAATCTTGATTTTCTGAAGGTATTTATTATAATTTTTTTTTAAATGTTTTTTTTAAGTTTTAGATGGACAAAATACCTGTATTTTATTTATTTATTTTTATGTGGTGCTGAGGATCGAACCTAGTGCCTCACACACACTAGGCAAGCGCTCTACCCCACTGAGCCACAACCCCAGCCCTATTATAATTTTTAAACCAACCCAAAACCTTAGATATGCTTATAGTTAGTCAAAAACCATTTGTTCTAAAATCTTCAAACACACCAACTTTGAGCTGGCAGCCTTTTCTCATTTTGTAATTAGGTCCATTTTTCTTTAACCCACCTAGAGGTCCACATGAGTTTTATACAACAGGAACTAATGATCCTATAATAAGTCATTAACTTAAATGACTTGGAAATTCAACCTCACCATGCCCAACTGATCTGAATTCATGTAGTCTTTAAAGAACTCACTTAAAAAAAAAAAATTTAGGGCTGGGGTTGTGGCTCAAGTGGTAGCGTGCTCGTCTGGCATGCGCGAGGCACTGGGTTCAATCCTCAGCACCACATAAAAATAAAAATAAAGATACTGTGCCACCTAAAACTAAAAAAAAATTAATTAATTAAAAAAATTACCCACACTGTACAAATTTGTATGAAAACCTTGTAATAAGGCCATACTAAGGCAGACACGGTGGTACATGCCTACATTAAACCCAGAAACTTGGGAGGCTATAAAGCAAAGGATCCTAAGTGTGAGGTCAGCCTCAGCAACTTAAAAAGCCCTTGTCTCAAAATAAAAAGGACTGGGAATATATAGCTCAATGATAAAACACCCCGGGGTTCAATACCCAGTGCCCAAGAAAGAGAAAATTATAAATCATTTGGGGGATTAGGGGGAAAAGTGATACATACATGCAATCATAAAAAATAAAGCTATGTGGTGATAATGATGAATACAGTTTAAGACCAAGTTTTCTGATAAAATTATTAGCTTTTAAAATTAGTGAAGGCAATATACAAACTTTTTTTAGTCCCTTCTGGATATTTCTAGATATGGTTTAATTCTTAGTAGTTTTAGGAAATGGAATAAAAAAATGCCAAATAAATTATTTCTGATATTGTTTAACATGGATCCTTAAATTATGAGGGGCAAAAAAGCTATTACTTGGAGATAAAGACTTTTTTTTAAAAAAAATTCACTTCTCCTTATCTATTTCTTTTTCTTTTTTTTTTTTTTTTTTTTTTGTGTGTGTGTATGTTGCTGGGGATTGAACCCAGGGTCTTGTGCATGCTAAGCAAGCACTCTACCAACTGAGCTATATCCCCAGCCCTTCTTTTCTATTTCTAAATGTCAGAGTTCTCGGTCAGACTTGAAAAAACTTTTAAACAAGTCCTTGGCAACCTCCAAATTATTCTTGGTGACTTTGATATCCCTCTGGCCAAAACTGAGACCAGAGGGGCACACATACAAAAAAATCACCTTGAGATAAAGCCTTTGTATTAAAATTTATTCTGCATTTCCCCTCCCCGGTTTTAAAACAAGGCATATCTGTTTCTCTTCAGCAGGTATATCTTAACCACTCTGGGATAATCACAATTAAACTTTTTCTTAATGTGGAATGCTCAAGATTCAAGAATACATTTATTTAATCTAACAAGTCACAAGCACTAATGCTAGATACGTTCATGTATTTTGTTTGCTTTCCACAACATCACAATCAGGTAAACAGACTATTATTATGGCATTTTATAGATGAGGAAACTGAGATCCAGAAGGGCAAATTTTTCCAAGGTCAAAATGCTAATAAATGGTTAAGCTAGGATTCAGACCTCTTGAATCATCTCAATTTTTTCTTCCTTTTCTACATTTTTAGTTACTCCACCAGATTCAACTGGTCCTTAGGAAACATGGTAATCATTAAAAGTTCTGACTTCATGCAACCTCATAATAGAACCCCAGACACAAATATGATATATGACCAAAAGTGATTTTTTAGAAGAATTAATCTATTTTTAAAAATATTTACTGAGTACTCTCTGGATCAAGATAGACTAAGGGTAAGAATACAGGTAAGAATATTATTCATCTACCTCTATTATCTTGAAGCAATAAGTCTATTTTTTTAAAAAAGTTTTTTAGTTGTTGATGGACCTTTATTTTATTCATTTATTTATGTGTGGTGCTGAGAATTGAACCCAGTGCCTCACACACACGAGGCAAGTCCTCTACTACTGAGCCACAACCCCAGCCCAGCAATAAGTCTATTAAAAAGATAATTGTGATACAGCACAAGAGAAATCAAAAAGAAATGAAACAATCCTCATGAGTCTGGTTCTGAAAGATGATCAGTCTTCCCACATTGGGAATGGGGGTGGGATTCAATATTGCAAAGGAAGAAACAAAATGTTCAAAAGCAGAGGCCTAACCACAGTATGTTAAAGGAGCTCTTAAGTAAAATAGAGAATAGGGGAATATGAAATTGAAGAAAGAAAGATTGTGGCAGCAATAAAAAGTGAACAAAAGAGGAAAGGATATAGTTGGAAGTCTATTCTAACAGGCCAGACAAGAGATAAAATCCTAAACATAAAGAGAGTAAGTGCAAAGATGGAGAGTCTGTGCAGGAAAAATGAGGAAGGAGCTCTTGAATCAGTAACTCCAAATGCCTAGCAAAGTGTGTGTGATTTATGAGGAGATCAAAACAGGTTTCAAATAAACAATGAGTGGACAGGAGAATGAGGGAAATGATCCCAAGGTTTCTGACCAGGTGGATGGCAATGCAACTCAAGTAGGAAGAGAAGGAGCCAGACAGAAATGAACTGATAAGCTCCACTCTGGAGGGACTTACTTTGAATAGTATTTGAGGCAAAGATACTTAAGAGTTAAATCATGACATCAGAAGAAAAATGGGAACTAAACACGCAAACTTGCAAGGAGACACAAATATAAGCAATACTGGACTCAACTGAAGGAATTGCTCCAGATGTCATAATATGAAAAAGACAATAAAGGAGAGAATTCTAGGGAAACAAATATTTATGGAGACACAGCAAAGAAATAATTATCAAAGAATGAGACAGAAACAAAGAAAGCCAAGATAAAATTTAGCCACATGTGTCAAAATAATAATTTCCATGAGAGAGCAGTCTTTGTATCAAAATGAGCAAGGATCAAACAAAATATGAAGTGATGAGACTACTGGGTTTGAAAAAAAGATGCTGCTCATGAGCTCTCACCAAGAGCAGTGTGAGTGGTACAAACGAGATGACAGAGGGCCAAGGAAGGAATGGGATGGGAGGAAGTAAGAAGAGTGAGAACATCAAGAAAGAAGAGAGATACAATAACAAAGTCTATAACTTGTGTTCAAATACATTGTTTACTACTACTTGTTTTATTTTTTGTGATGCTGTGGACTGAATCCAGGGCCTCATGCAGGTGAGGCAAGTGCTCTAGCACTGACCTATATACCCAGCCCCACTGTTTATTTCTCTCACAAACAAAAATGAAACCTTTCCTCTCCTATATTCAATTTTGGTCTCTATGTTTCTTTTGCTTAAGGTCCAGAGAAAGCAACTGTTAAGCCATACCTGACAAGCTGCAATGATGAGGCAAGTAAAATTATTTCTTGAATGTCTATAAAAGTAGCTTCTAGAATGAGGCTCATCATTTTGGAATAAAAGGCAAAAGAAGCATCCTAATGGGTAATCTGCATAAATTCTATATAAATAATTTCAAGTGATCAACTCAAAAAAATCTGAAAGTATGCAACAAATAAAAATGTATACTTACAACTAAATCATCTGTTACTTTAATACACAGACTCCCATCAGAATGCCTATATTTGAGAACGACACGTGCCTGAAATAAAAACACATATTTAGAAATAGTAAAGACAGATGTCATTTCTCTAAATAATTTAGTCTTCAGGTAGGCTGAAAGGATCCTTTTTAGAATAAACACCCAAAACATCTAAAGGCATCTTTATTGTAGTCTTGTCATTACTGAAATTATAAGTTTCAAAAAAAAGAAGTCATTTTAGTTCATTCCTTGTGCTACACTTTAAATACTTAAAAAAAAAAAGTGGGAAGGCTGGGGCTGTAGCTCAGTGGTAGAGCGCTTGCCTTGCACATGTGAGGCATTGGGTTCAATCCTCAACACCACTTAAAAATAAATAAAAATATTTTTTTAAAACTTGGATATTATAATTGCAGCCAGTCTAAAGAAAACTCCCAAAGCATATTCATACTCAGGGAATGTCTCTGAAGACTATAAGATAGTTTGGCTTTTTTTCCCAATGAGAATATATGCCAGCACACCTAGTCATGGAGAAATAACAGGAAAACAAATAAGCAGAAATGGCTGGTTAATAAGTCCAATTACAGTGCTGGAGATATAGCTCAGTGGTAGAGCACTTGCCTAGCATGCCTGAAGCCCTGGGTTTAATCCCCACCACCACAAAAATAAAAACAAACAAAAAGCTCAAATTCATTTTTCAGGGAAACAGTGCTTCAGTGCTGGATAGAGTTTCTATCCTTCCATGGCTGTCAGAAGGCAGATTCAAAAAGAAGTCTCTTAGCAACAACTTTTCCAAAAACCTGCACTGATGTTGTTCAGTATTCTAGTTAAGTAGCCAAGATATTGTTCAGATATTAGAATATAATATAAGACAATATCCAGTAACTTCCAGATTCTGTGAACTTTTTTTTTGTTCTTTTACTGATGGATGTAAGCAAGCATAATCAGCAGTCAGTTTTTTGTTTTGTTTTTGTTTGTTTTTGCTATACAATACCAGTAACTCTTGCTTAGCTAGCTGTTTCAAAAACTGCGAAGAATCTACAAGCCAAAACAGGAATATAGTTTTAAAATGCTTACAATGTAGCACAAAAAGTGTCAAAAACAATTCTGGAAACTAAAAAGGGCTAATAATACAGCTATAACCTACAACTTTTCCCATTATGCTCTCTGTACTCCTGGGATTGCAAAAAAAAAGTTACATCTCTTGGAGATGTGTCTTGATAAGGGAAACGGAATTCACCCGCATTTAAGTAGAGAGAAATAATAACCAGAATGTTTGTGAAATATTTATTGAACTATTAAACTGTTTTAACTTATTTTTAAAAATTTAATTTTAAAAACAAAAGAAACCAAAATTTAAAAATATACTAAGCATGACAACTATATAAAGTTTTAACTCTCAGTTAAGAGAATACTCACTGGTTTCACTAGAAGAAATGAGAGTTAAAGGGCATATGGTTCTGTAAGACAGGATTCTGTTTTGTAGCTTAAGGGGCACCTGAGCCACTGTGTCATGCACGTGCCAGGAAAGGAGAGGAAAAAAGTCAAGATTTTTGCCCTCTTAGGAACTTTGAATTCAACCAACCAAAATAATCAAAACATAAAACAGAATTAATTAAGTCCTATAAAGGCATACATAGGTAAACCACTAAAAAGAGAAAACAATTTACACTGGGAGAAGGGAAAGAGTCACTTCTTTTAGGAGCTATCCTTGAAAATGTGTTATAGTTTAGATATGAGATGCCTCCCCAAAAGCTAACTTAATGCAGGAACATTCAGAGGTGAAATAATTAGGTTATGAGAACTATCACCTAATAAGGAAATTAGTCCATTTACTGGATTAATAATTTCAATGGATTACTGGGTGGTAACTGTAGACAGGTGGGATGAGGCTGGAGTAAGGAGGTCACTGGGGGTACACCTTGGAAATTATATTTTGTCCCTGGCTTCTCACTCTCTGCTCTGCTTCCAGGCTGCCCTGAGCTAAGCAGCTTTTTTCACCATACCTTTCTTCTGTCTCACTTCAGGCCCAAAGCAATGGAGTCAACTAACCATGGATGGAGAACTCTGCATCAGCAAGTCAAAATAAACCTTTCCTTGTCTAATTTGTTCTTGTCAGGTATTTTGGTCAGAGTGACAAAAAGTTGACTAAAAGAAAAATGCATTTTTCCCCCCTCTAAAAAAGAAGGTTGGAGAAAGGATAAGTATTCTGAATAATGATCTGATGAATTCTGTAGTTTCATTGAGTCTATAGTTGAAGATGGTGGAAATGGGGGTAAATAATGCCTGACTGGAAAGAGGGTCAGACAGAGACTGAGAGTTAGTGAAGTTTAATGAAGTTTTTAAAGCAGGGAACAATTCAATTTTTATTTTTTAGACAGCTGTAGCAGGTGTGAAGGAGAGACTAAAAAGGGCAGACAGAGTAACTAAGAAGTTATTATACAGTCTATCAGTAATACCATTTTCAATTAGAGCTATGTTGAGAGTGGTAAAAGATGACAGATACAATCATCAACCTAAATATGCTGGTATGAGAGGACAGAGATTTTGGAAAATAGACTCCAGAGTCCTGAAAAAAAAACTTTCTTTCTTTCTTTTTCTTTTAGTACCAGGAATTGAACCCAGAAGCACTTAACCACTGAGCCATATCCTCAACCCTTTTTTTTTTAAATTTACTTTTTTTGTGGTGCTGGGGATTGAACTCAGGACCTTGTGCATGCGAGTCAAGCACTCTACCAACTGAGCTATATCCCCAGTCTTTTTTATTTTTTGAGACAATCTCCCTAAGTTGCTGAGGCTGACTTTGAACTTGTGATCTTCTTGCCTCAGCATTCTAAGTCACTGGGATAACAGGGGTGTGTCACTGCACCTGGCCAAAATTTTTTCTTTATCCCTGGTAAGAGCAGAATGGACTTGGAGTTCAGAGCCTAAATCTGTATTTCAGCTTAATCTCTTAGATATTAGGCAAACAATTTATGGAATCTAAGACTGTTTATTTATCCACTTCAATGGGTTGCTATCATGGTTTGGATCTTGAATGTTTCCCCAGAAGCTCATGTTGTGGGCAATGCAGCAATGATGATTCATGAGGGCTCTGACCTCATCAGTAAACTCATCCATTTGATGGATTAATAATCTGAATGGCCTTCTAGGTGCTAACAATATGCAGGGAGGGCACAGCTAGAGGAAGTGGGTCAGTGGGAGCATGACCTTAGGGGCAATATCTGTCCCTGGCCTCTTCTCTGTTTCCTGGTTGCCCTGAGCTAAGAAGCTCTCTTCCACCACACCATTGGCATGATCTTCTGCCTCACTCAGAGAAATGGCATCGGCCTACCATGGACCTCTGAACCCATGAGTCCAAAATAAACTTTCCCTCTTCTAAATTGCTTTTGTTAAGTATTAAGGACACGAATGACTCAAAGCTAACTAACACAGTTGCTGCAGTTGTTTTAATAAATTATACATACACATTCCAATTATACATTCTGCTGTTTTTATTTTTAGTTTTGAACCCCAGGCTTCATGCTTACCAGGCAAGCACTCTCCACTGAACCACATCTCTAGCCCTAAACTATACATATATGAAAGACGCCTGTCACATAGAACGCACTCAATAAAACTCTTTTCATCCTCTCCATCCAAAAATCAGTTAAAAGGCAGTAGAAAGCCATCATGAGGATGCAGGAGTTTTTAGGCCACTGAAATTATTCAGCTGGGTGAAGAACTGAAAGGTTCTCCCTCTTGTCTAGTCTAGAAATGCTTTTGCACAGTGATGTTCTCCAATTACTATTTTAATTTTCATTTGCCCTATAACTACTGCCACATTCTTGAAATATAGCCCCTCTTGAGGTGACTCTGTATATTCTTTACTGTCTTTTCAAATATTTTTGAAAATATTTTGATTCAAAATATTTGAATATTTATATATTCAAATACAAAAATATTTGAATATATAAATCTGTGGGTGCTTTTGGACAAAAATCTTATACTATCTTCATGGACTGAAGAAACAAATGACCCTGTGACCAGGGGAAAGGAAAACCACCAAATGGAACAGTCAGCACTCACTAGTGTCACAAGTAAGTACTTGATTTCAAAAGTATCTAATTCACTTCATTATTTATTATATCACTTTATGAAGAACCTTAATATTTTACAAATGAAACTAATAAAGTATTGTTATATCAGTTTAAAAATGGCACTGAAAATGTTTTAGTATTTTGGTTATTTAGGTCTTTCCATTGGTCTAATACTATTTTTAATTATAGTATCAACACATTTTGCTGCCCCATTTAAATGATGCTCAATATAAACAACATGTGGCGTGGGAGTTACAGGTTACCAGCCCAATATATACCTTTAAAACACAGTTCATATTATTTACTGATTGATCAATGAAAATCTGACTCAGTAAAATCTGAGCCCCGTTTCTTAAGAGTAACCGCTTTTCTTTTTCTTTCTTCTCCAAAGGATATATTCACATTTATCCATAGTACCTTCCAAAAATACCAGCTCCTTAAGGGATAGGCTGCAATCTTCCCTTTGTGTTTCCCACAGAAGTAAATCTGGCATGGTGAGGTGGGGAATGAAACCTTTTGCAAACATTTATGCATAAGTGCGTTTTCCTGGAACAGGGTGCAAACATTCTCAAAAAAGGCCACGGACCCTCAAAACATTAAGAACCCCCTTTGGGCAGGGACATATCTGCTTCCAAACAGATTTCTTTAAAGAAAGCCTGGGCTGTCAAAAGAATTAACATCACTGTTTTATATATCCGAGGTACATTTATTTACATCTTGGTGGTAGGGGAAATGGGCACCAAGACACCTAACGGACAGGAATCCGGAGCTGCAGAGGGAGGAGCCCCGTCCTTAGAGACACGTAAATCCATCAAAGCCATAGAGGAAGTTCAGGGACTGGAAGCGTCTGTACTGACGGTTATGAATGAAACGATCCTAACTGATGTCATCAGGACCTCACTGGGCCACTCGAGTCGGGGATAGGGACAGGACAGCAGGTACAATTAGATTTGGCGGGGTCCATCTCGGCTCCCTCCCACCACCTCCTGGGAATACTAGAGAACCCCCTGAGCTCAAGCGGACGACAGGGAAGACATTCTGATCCCGGGTTGGTACCCGAGGCAGAGGCCCCACTATTTACCTTCATAGGGTCAGCGAGGTAGAGCTTTTCGGCCGCGCGGCTAAACTCCTCCCAGGTCTGGTACTGCGGCATCGTGGCCTGGGATGGAATGGGAATGAGAAGCAAGCCTAAGGGACCGGAGGCGGCACTGCCTGGCCCACCTACCTACCTACAACCTGCGGTAGCCGACCAACGTAGGAGTCCCAGCTGCTCAAAGATGGTGGTGCCTCCTCGCACCAACGCCTTGCTCCGTTGGACAGCTCCGACCGCGCTTGACCAATGGGCAAGAGGGATGTTACGAGGGAGGGGGCGGAGCCCCCAGCGTGTAGCCCAAGGAAGTCAAGAGCAGGCCGATGGATGGCGTTTGCTACAGCGCCTCCTGCAGGAGTGGAGGGGCAGCGTCTCTCCGGTTGCCCCCTGGGTTGGACTGCAATAATGAAGCCCAGGTTCCTTTAACAAAGATTGAGCGGCTCAATCACAAAGATTGTGATAGGAGCGGAGATATAAGCATGAAATGACAAGGTCCAGCCATCACACACATAGTCTGGTGAAGGAAGGGAGACACATAACAGGATTGAAATCAAAATCTTTCTATGGTAAATATTTATTTAGAGCCAGTGCAGCGAGCCCAAAAGAATGGTTATTTGGGGGTGGGGGATAAGCTCACAGAGGCTGACACAAGTTGAACTGGCAGGCAAGGAAGAGGCCCATTGTAGATCTGCAGTGAACTATTAATATAAAAGGTGTTTAGGGGACGTGAGAAGAGTAGAAAGGAGAGGAGCCATATCATTGTATATGTTAGGATATGAAATTTGAATTTTGTCCATCAGGCCATTGGTGCCATAGAAAGGTACCTTTTACAAATAAAGTTTATTGAGGTATATTTTACATATAATAAAACGCACCAATTTTAAGTGTACAGTTTCATGCATTTTGACAAATGTATATACCCATTGGGTATATACCCACATACCTAAATACCACAATCAAGATATAGAACATTTTTCATCTCCAGAAATTTCCCTCATGCTTCCTTATATTCAGTTTCCAAACTTTCACTCCTATTGCTATGAATATGCTTTAAACATATACATATTTTTAAAATTCTTTTGGTACTGGGGATTGAACCCAGGGGCACTTCACCACTGAGCTACATCCCCAGTCCTTTTTATTTATTTATTTTTATTTTGAGAAAGGATCTTTCTAAGTTGTTGAGAGCCTTGCTAAGTCCTGAGGCTGGCTTAGAACTTGCAGTCCTCTTTCTCAGCCTCTGGAGTCACTAGGATTACAGGTGTGTGCCATCCTATCCAGTACAGATATACTTTCTGCTACTATAGATTAGTACTTTTTGTTCTTTGAAAGGCTTTAAGCAGATCCCCCCCCCCTTTTTTATTAATTTTCTTCCTCTTTCTCCTTCTTCTCTTCCTCCTCCCCCGCTCCTATCTTGCTATATTACCCAGGCTAGCACTCAAGCATTCTTCCTGCTTCTAACCATATTTGCATTTTACAGGGCTGCAGCTGCATGTTAAGACTGATTGAAAGCTGTGTGCACTTGTGCAGGCCTGTAATCACAGTGGCTCGGGAGATTGAGGAAGGAGGATTGAGAGTTCAAAGCCAGCTTCAGCAACTTAGCAAGGCCCTAAGCAGCTTAGCAAGACGCTGTCTCTAAATAAAAAGAATAAAAAATGGGCTGGGGATGTTGCTCAGTGGTTAAGCACCCCTGGGTTAAATTCCCAGTACCAAAAAATAAAAAAGACTGAATTGAAATGGTACAAGCCTGGAGGCAGGGACACCTCATAAGATGCTGCAGGGGCTGAGGATATAGCTCCAGTTGGTAGAATGCTTGCCTCGCATGCACAAGGCCCTGAGTTTGATCTCTAGCACAGAAAGAAAAGAAAAGAAAGACAGGAAAGATGCTATTGCATAAAAAGGCATGAGAGACTATGGGATATGGATCTGAATTAAGGCACTAGTTTAGGAATGGAGAGTTACAGATTTGAGATTCACTTGGTCAATGATTGGATGAGGGCTATGAGGGAAAGAAAGGAGTAGAGAATGACTCTTAGGTCAGTGGAGGAGGTGATACCATTGACTGATGTAGGGGAAAAGGAAGAACAGGTTTAGGAAATATATCAGGGAAGACAGTGATTAATTTCTAGACTTGATAAGCATGAAGTTTCTTTGTGACATTCAGGTGGAGTTGTGGAGATGGCTGGTAGCTGAGCTGAGCCTCTCTACATGAAAATCCAGGAGAGGTTTGATACAGAAGTAATCAGCAGATAGGTCTGAGTTGAGTTTTCTCAGGGAGAAGATATACTGTAAGAAGACAAACTCTGGGTAATGATTATATGGACAAAGATTTAGAGAGAAGAAATAGAGTCCACCAAAGAGGAAGAGATTATCAAGGAGGTAAAAGGAGATTGAGAGTGAGAGGTGATGAGGGTTCTGGAAAGGGAGTGATCAGTTGTATCAGATGGCAGAGTGTAAGTCCAATGAGAACCAAAATGAATCAACTGCTTCTAGTTATTGGAGGTCTATGGTGACTTTGTGCCAAAGAAGCCTCAGTAGACTAGAATTCAGGGTGGAACTCACTGCAGGAGGCTGAAAAGGTAGGAAAGTGATGGAAGCTGCTTTATTCTGTTCCCTATAAATGCATTATTGTGATCAGAGGGGAACACCGGGTCAAAAAAAATGTGTTTTAAGATGGAAAGATTCTGTGCATGTTTGTAACTTTCAGGGAAGTATGCAGAAGAGATGGAGAAATTGAGGAAAGCAAGATCTGAAGGAGAAAGGTAAAGAGAAGATCGAAGGTGCAGAGAAGTGAAAAGAGAAGGTTCACCATTGCCTTTGAAGTAGTGGGGAAGGAGAAAAAGAGGAGTGAGAGTCTAAGTGAATGTGCAGATACAAGGGCAATAAAGTACATTTTCTTTTTCACCTAAAAGGCATCTTCTGAGATAGGAGAGCAAGAGTGGGTTTAGGAGAAGATTTAGAAAATCCATTGTGAAGAATGAGTAAGGAAGTCAACAAAACCCTCAAAAGCAGTCTGTTAAGCAGAGCTGAAAGCCCTGCTGGTATTGGAAGTTACACTCTGGGTATATCCTTAACTGGAGTCTGTCTCCAGCACCACCCAAAATGAAAATGGCAGATGTTAGGTCAGGCAGAAGGACAAAGGAACAAAAATGTTGGCAGTACTGGAAAAAGAATGGTTGAAGTGATAATTCATGGGATGCAGGTGAGATAAGTGGTAATTAAATCAAAAGAGAAAAGTTAAGGGTTCAGAATTTCAAGGAAATTTGAAGTCAATATAATAAGAAAAGGGAACTAAAGAGATAGATTGAATGTGAGGTTTTAACCTTTCAGAGGAGCAATGGTTCCTGGTGAGGCCAGTTGGGTCATCTACACAGATATTAAACTCACTTGTGAATAAGAAAAGGAATAAGATGAAGAAGAAGCCAAGGGCCCAAATCCTCAGTTAATGAGAATAAGGTGTGTGTGGGTGGGTGTGGGGTTTGGCATGTGAGGTAGGGATGTAGGAGCCATAAAGAACAGAAGCAAGGGGCTGGGGTTGTGGCTCAGTGGTAGAGCGCTCGCCTAGCACAAGCGAGGCCCTGGGTTCGATCCTCAGCACCACATAAAAATAAATAAAATAATATAGTGTCCAATTACAAAAAATAAATATGGAAAGAAAAAACAGAAGCGAGCAGAGACAAGGGGCAGAGCTGGTCAGAAGGACCCTCTGGGAAGAGGAATTCTTGTCTGAAGATGCAAACAATGGAAGTTATGACAATGCTAAGTTTGCCTTCTGTCACAACAAAGAACATAAGAGAGCAATTTCAATTCTATTCAGGGAAAAAAATAAACACCCCACAATTGAAGCACCCACCCAGGCAAAGACCTGGAGCTGGGTTATGCTCTGCCTCACAGAGCTCACGGCCCAGGAGGAAGACAGTTAAAATCTGATTTCCATCGTGAAGCTCCCCAACCCTATAGTTCCAGCTTAGAGCCCAGCGCCAGCCCCTGAAGAGGGAGATAAATAAGATGAGGAGTAAGTTAGGACAACTGACCTTCATCATTCAAATGTTTCCAGCCACCCTCGGATGCATTCTTTAAACTGGGTCATTCCTTTCCAACCATGGAGACATGGCTTCCAAAAACTATCAATTTATCCTTTATAAATTGCTCACACAGGCACAATATCAGAAAAAGAAAAATTCCTTTCATTCCCATCCAGGAAAAGCAGAGCTTCTTGCCCTTTGTAGTTACCTTTTCTGCTTCGTTTTCCCATATACCTCTCATTTGAGACTTAAAACAACTCTGCCAGGGTGGTTCTTATCACAATTCCAAATTCTGAAAAGCTCTAGAAAATAAAAGTATCTCAGTCCTGACCTCAACTAAGGTTGCTTAAAGTCCTTTGGTTTTACTTGGTGTTGTTTGATTACTAAATGGAACCCAGCAGACTCTGCAGGCAGTGTTATGTAATACATGGTATGTGCATCCTATTACCTTTCTAGAATCCAACAAGCTATGTACTCCAGGACACATGTGGCCTCAAGGATTTTTTTTTTTATGAATGTATTTATTAGTTTGTATACTGGATATTGAGCTCAGTACTTTATCACTAAACTACATCCCCAGACATTTTTTTAAATTAGGATCTCACTAAGATGCTTATGGCTTCACTGAGTTGCTGAGGTTGTCCTTGAATTCATGATCCTCCCGCCTCAACTTTTCAAGTCAACTGGGATTATAGTTGTGTACCACCAAGCCCTGCCAGCCCGATGGGTTTTTAGATGAGGATTTGACCCTAAGAGTTACAGAACTTTGCAACTCTCCTTTACATGAGTTGAAGAAACCAAGTCTGAGAAACTATACTACCCAAATTGGCATGGATATTGCTCTTGATGGTCCAGCAAATGGGCAAACCAGCAGATGGTAATCACAACAGGAAGTGAAGTGAATAATTTTGAATTTTGGAAAATGTAACTATTGATGATACAGAAGCTGGATTAGCCCTCATCCATTCCCTGTGTTCATTGCCTCCTGTAATTATTTTTGTGTCTTTGCCTCCCATTCAATCCCATTCCCGTGAGAGTCTGACTTCCACTGTGTCCACCCCATCTCCACCCAAAGCTGTCTTCAGGGGTCACTAGCTGACCTTCACATGCATATATCTATTAGTCCTTTCTTGACTAGGTCATTCAGCTGCATTTGAGGCACTGGCCACTCTTTTG